ATATATATATATATATATATATATATATATATATATATATATCCAAGAAAACTAAACTAATTAGCATGAAATAAAATACAAATGTTTTGTGCAAATCTTAGGTTGCCGGCCAAAATGCCGGCTTCATCCATAGGTTACAAGTACGTTAGTAAGTAAGCACTGCCCCTTCTTTGCCACATAAGCCAAAGAGCTGCGGTGCATGTAATAAACATGATAAACTCCCGCCTCGCCAGAGCTACTGGTGGGGGGAAAGATGAAAGATGCTCTCAGGAGGGGAATATTTTTTTTCTGATTAATTTTTTCTTTTTGATAATATTTTTTGTATACTTCTATTTTTTGTAAAAATATCTGCTTAATTTAACATGTTTTGGCAAGTGCTCTCTCGTCTACTTTTATATTTTCTACTTACTAGTTATATATTTTCTCACTTATACATGATTTTAGTGAATTTTATTTATGTCTACATAACTTTAATTTTTTATTCTTTTATTTTATTAACTGTTTTCAAAATTTGTTTGAATTTTTTTTTCAGTCGGATCATGCCAATTAGTCATATCTAACATATGTTGATAAGTGTGATTGACACACGAATCGGTGAAGGAAAATGTTTGAAGAAAAATTTCACTGATTGTTAAAAAAGAAGAGGATACTTTTATTTAATTAATTTATTTAAAAACATTTTATAAAGATAGTTCACAAGACAGTCACTATGTAGAGTAGAACACTAAAAGTCCGCTCCACTCAACATAAAACCTGCAAATGATATTTTTGGACGTCATTTCTCTTAAACATCGACGAAATGTATGTTACATATTACCAGGTGATTGTATGGGAACATATGTGCAATCTATTGCTGCGAGAACGCGAGAAATTTCATAAAAGTCTTCTTGGGTGATTTCCATTTTCCTTTGAAACTTCACGAACTCACTACACTTGAAGCAGTACATAGCTCACTTCAATGAAGTCTCTAATTACGATAAAAAATATCCCATTGCAAAATAACGCAGAGTGAGAAGAAGTCGGTTCATTGGTGATACCTCAGAATAGCTAACAAAACACAAAGTATTCATTTTATTATTTTGTCATAAAATTAATTCAACAGGACCATTACTTTACGCGGGGCATTACAGAAATATAAGTCGGTATTCACAAATCATTTGTTTTTACTTTCTGTTCTATCATAGACATTTCTGTGTTAACTTTAAGCTTCCTTAACCTAAATCGGGATTTGCAATCTTGTTTGTCAACGATCTCAAAATATTCTGGCTGTGTCGTCTGGTCGAACGCTCTAAACCATCAAAGAATTCATCGTCTCTTATCTCTATTACGTTGTCCATCCCGGAATTACCACAGATATTCCTTGAAAATCACAGTAAATTCACACACAATTCTGCTATTTTGGAGTTATCTAGCAGATAAACATTTAACAGCCTCTCGAACATCCAGATTATTTACCGGATACTTTAACCACTGGATAGATTCATCAGGCACTCGTAAAACACAAATTTTCAACATATCAGTAAGATCCTGGGTAGACTATCAGGGACTTTGTCAGGCACCAGTGAAACAGGCCCTAAGTATCATAAATAACGTTTTACAACTGAAATTCTTTTGATTCTAGAAAGTTTATATCTATTTTAGTTTTGGCCTAGTAAAAGGGTTTAATGTAGTATTGAGGCAGTGAATTTAAAAATTTACAGTAATTGTTGAAATATTAAACACTCAATGATGTTATGTCTTATAAATAGTATCATACTAATAAACAGCACAACCAATGTGGATATTTAGTTTTTTCCTTACATTTCCGCCACAAGGTTTCAACTAATGTGTTTTTTAAGCCCATCATATGATACGACACATACGTTTCCATTGGTTCATCAGGGATTAAATGTCTTTTATTAATTAACTGTCTGTATTCAGTCTTGTTACACTGAGAGTCTTTGTTTTCTCCTTGGGAATGTTATACCGTGATCATGCCTTATTTAAACTTAATTTTTCTTAAAAGGTCAGCCAGTTTTCTTCAAAAAATTAGTCATACCTTGCAGCGAGGAAATCAAAAAGTTGAACAACACTATATGCTTTAACCTTTTACATTATATTCTCCTTGATGGTCCTGATATTTAATTCACTGTAATTGTTAGTGCTATAACCTCTTGTTAATAAGTGATGTGTGCCTTGCGCATTGCGCTCGCATCCATTCTTCAAATCTGGTTTGCATTTTAAAAAAATATTGTAATGCAACCTGGGAGTTACACTATCATAAAAGGGGGAATTGCCGTCACACTGAAGGTGCAACGGTCACTTGCAGACAGCAGGGTGCATGTACTAAATTTATTTAAATGGCGCCAAGCGCATGCCTCACCTGCTATCCGCACATCGGCGTTGAGTATCTCAGGGGTGAGCGCCCTGGGTCGAAGGATTGCATTTGGCTTACTGTCTACAAATAATACAGTCTTTATTTCTTTGTGTTACCACCCGACAAAATGGCGGGGACACGTTTATTACCGGTATACTGTCTCTCAAATTTAATTTTCTGTTGTGAGCTTTCCTCCGGCTTGTAATATGTATGGGTATGAATTCACTTACAGGATGGTGATGATTGTGATGTCACTGCTTCACCTCGAAAAGATTACACGTCCAATACCGGTCGGCTGCAGCGGAGGATCCGTTGAAACGCCATAAGAGTCCCCTGTAGTCGGCAGGAGCGCTCGCGGATGTCCAACATCAGGCTGGGCGGGAGATCATCCGTGGCCGTCCGCCAAATGAAAAGTCGGTTTTGATGCGCGGGTCGCAGGTCGTCTCACGTCGCTCGGACCGCCTTTTTGTGTTTTACAGCCGAATGGTCGGGTTGCACACCCTCACGGATAATTTTAGGATGCTGATCCTATTATCCTAGCCCGACATCCGGAATAAATTCCAATGTTGAGTGAGTGCTGATCGGATCGTATGAAGAACAGCGATCGTCCGTTGGATGGCAGTTGTCGTCGTTAAATCATTTACTACCTCTTAATGCCGTTAAGTCAGGAACTGTGGTCTCTCTAAGAGCCGAACGATCGCTGTCGATATTCTTTCTCTAATAATAATGTGTCTTAGCGCTAGCGCCCTCAGCTCAACCGATTCCCGTCCCCATCACTTTCGCAAGATGCGTGAGCTCTGTCACGTGCGTAGCGCGAAACTTTTCATTGGCTTGTTCAAAAGTTTCCAGAACATTCTAACACCCGAGCTCTGTGATTAGGTTAAAAACCCATCCATCTAGTGCCTACGTGACTCAATACACGACTGCGACCCTTCTACGAAGCTTCATGATTTATTGCCCCTTAGAGATTAGCTAGCGGGCTGCCCCCGGATCTCTTAATACGACTGTTCTTCTTCGACAGTTTCTACCTCTTAGAGTTTGCCGTTTTCGATTTCCATAATTCTCTGTCATCCCATTGACCCTCTTCTAATCCTTTCTCCTCCATAATTTCATGTATATATTTCTTCCAGGTTAAACCAGGTCTACGTCTTCTGTCAGGTGTCCAATTTAAAATTTGTTTTGGCCATCCCTCATTTCGCATCCTCTGGACATGTCCATACCATTGAAGAGCTTTATTTT